TTGAGCCTCTTTGTGGTTGTTTTGAGTCTCTTTGTGGTTGTTTTGAGTCTTTTTGTGGTGGTTTTGAGTCTCTTTGTGGTTGTTTTGAGCCTCTTTGTGATGGTTTTGAGTCTCTTTGTGGTGGATTTGAGTGTCTTTGTGGTCAGGGTTAGGGTGATCATCACCATCATCATCGTCATCATCCGGCAACCAGACGTGCCAGAAATGAGCCACAACAAACCACAAGTTGGGCATCGTGGTGACCTCTGGCTTTGAGATACTGACGAGGTCGTCCCTCCAGTCATTTCCTGTCTCCTCTCTAGTACGCACTTTCAAAATAAAGCTAAATAAAACTCAAATAAAGCTAAAGGACAAAGCCGAGGTGCGTTTCCCCGATGACTGCTCATTCCCTAGGTTCTCTGCAGGGAAAGATGCATCAACGTGCACAAAACAGTAATCCTCAAAGGAAAGACTCGAGCCTCAACTGCTTATTTAAGCAACTCCATGTTGAAAGGAAACTTGTTTAATAGAAGAAGAGTGAGAGGGAGAATGGCCCAGAGCCCAGCGGAGGATCAAACACCCACAGACGAAGAAGAAGAAGAAATGATCAAAAGATGCAGAGCTGCATCCTCATCCTCTCTGCAGTGAATACCAACAGCTTTCATCCTCACGTTCTCTGCCAGTCAGCAGGATATTTTTGGGTGGCTGTGATGATGGCGACATTCGGAGACAATCGCAGACCAAATCGTGTCCTGGAGACGGGTTTTAAACCCTCTCTTCTGTCTGCAGGTTTATTTATAGTGGATCTTTGTCAGCTCTGAGTCTCACTCTAATGCCTCGCTGACAACAGGAGGATTTGGAGGCCGGATGTTTACCCACAACAATCCGCTCAGACGTGGTCGTCAATAAAAAGTCTGAGATCATCACAAAGTTAAAAAAAACACATCACAAGTCAACACAAGTCAGTTATCTCAGAATCCTCCGGTTTAGTCCAACAAACATAAAGATGATGTCACATAAATACACACTAAAACAAGACTGCGGTGTTTAGAGCTAAATGCTAACATGCTCAGAATATCAAATGTAAGTATTATATTTAATGTTCTGTCTTATCTGAAATAAAGTTTGATTGATTAAATGTCTTTAGTTCTGGAGGTATTTATTCATAAATCAATGATGAACCACATGTATTAAAACGCTCGAGACATTCGGACAACTGTGGAGCGAAAACAATCGAGTCAGTTCACAAACGTTAAAGGTCCAGTGTGAAGGATTTGGCGCCATCTAGTGGTGAGGATGCATAATGCAGCCAACTGAAACTTCTCCTGTGTACAAAGAGGTAGGAATACTACAGAAATGTACTTAGAGAAACGTAGAGTACGTTATCCACGTAATCTTGAACGAGGAAGTATGAAGACGAAAAAACTAAAGTATTAGTCTTCATCTATTGTCTCACTAAATTATTAAAGTCTTCATCTAATGTCTCACTAAAGTATTAAAGTC